AGAGCCTTCTAAACCTCTAATTTAGGGTAAAACTGTGTGCTGATGGTCCCATCAGGGTGGGTTAATGCAAAATGTATCCCTATGTTGCCAAGCAGCTGAATAAGTTGAGCTGTTGGGTGGATTCCTTTAGTGCTGTCCACTTAAACTATGGGGAATGTTAGCCAAGGACAGCAATTTTAGATTTAGCACAATTATAACCTTTTTTCCCTTTTGCAATGATTATCCAACAAGGTCAGCAGTATCCTAATTTATTATTATTTCTAATAATAAAATCACATTATAGAACAGCAGTTCTCAACCTTGACTATACATTTGAACCCCCAGAAAGTTTTAAAATATACTGATTCCTGAGTTCCCCAAGAGATGCTGACTTAATTGGTCTGGGGTGAGGCCTAGGTTTCAATGTGTTTAGGGGTCCTCAGGTGATATTAACATGCAGTCAGATTTGACAGCCATTGTCATAGAAGGAGGGCCTTATCTTCTGATTTACCAGTATTCGTGTATCCAGTGACTCTAATTAGATATGTTAAAAGTAAGAGTGACCCACTCACTAGTTCTGTGCCCTTGAAAGAATCACTTAATTTCCATAAACTTCAGTTTCTCCTTCTCTAAATTAGGGGTAACTATTATATTAGGGGTTAGCTGTGGAGTTTTAAATAAAATACATAAAGTGACTAGGACAGAGCTTAGCACCTAACAGGTATTCAAAATAGGAGTTGCTTCAAAGAACTGTGGTCATGTCTCTGCTTTGCACACTTAGAAATGGAATTCCATCTCCTGTGAGTCTGGAGGTGGTGTTACAGCACAGACTTGGACAGGGTGGTCTCCACCGAGGCTGTGTGCTCTTGGGCCCACACGTGGTACCTGAAGTAAGATCAGGGAATGCTCTGAAGAAGCCCCTCATTGTTCTTCACTAGCGTCAGACAAACAGGATGGAGCAGTGCCCACTTATTCCTCAGGGAATGAGCACCCCAGCCCAGAAATCTGTTGAGAAGAAAGCTGTGATAAAGTATCAAAGGACCTCCAACGAGAAAGTAATGGTCTCAAGTTTGAGAATTAGATTGTTTCCCTTTTTTGAAAGGGAAAGATGTTGATGCTATGAGCTCGTAAAAGCCCATAAAACAGATGAGGAACACCCCTCATGGAAATCTAGGAGCCAGCAATCTCTTAGGTTGCTTTTTTCCTATTTAATTTTAGGCCAGTGGTCAAAGATTTTCAATAGCCTCTGCTATTTTTTCTTTTTAAAACCTGTTTACTTGAATGTGTACCTATGATGAACATATGAGTGTATGTGTTTATATGTAAAACAAATACATATACCTATGTGTATCTAAATATACATATCATACATTTAAATATAAAGCAAGATTAGCTCAATAGCACTTGAGAACCAAAAGATTTCTGCTAGGATGAACTGTGGAATCTAAAATGTGACAATAACATCAAAAATTCAAGTGACAAACAACCCAATCCAAAAATGGGCAGAAGACCTAAATAGACATTTCTCCAAAGAAGACATACAGATTGCCAACAAACACATGAAAGAATGCTGAACATCATTAATCATTAGAGAAATGCAAATCAAAACTACAATGAGATATCATCTCACACCAGTCAGAATGGCCATCATCAAAAAATCTAGAAACAATAAATGCTGGAGAGGGTGTGGAGAAAAGGGAACCCACTTGCACTGTTGGTGGGAATGTAAATTGATAGAGCCACTATGGAGAACAGTATGGAAGTTCCTTAAAAAACTAAAAATAGAACTACCATATGAGCCAGCAATCCCACTACTGGGCATATACCGTGAGAAAACCATAATTCAAAAAGAGTCATGTACCAAAATGTTCATTGCAGCTCTATTTACAATAGCCCGGAGATGGAAACAACCTAAGTGCCCGCCGTCGGATGAATGGATAAAGAAGATGTGGCACATATATACAATGGAATATTACTCAGCCATAAAAAGAAACGAAATTGAGCTATTTGTAATGAGGTGGATAGATCTAGAGTCTGTCATACAGAGTGAAGTAAGTCAGAAAGAGAAGGACAAATACCGTATGCTAACACATATATATGGAATTTAAGAAAAAAAAATGTTATGAAGAAACCTAGGGGCAGGACAGGAATAAAGATGCAGATGTAGAGGATGGACTTGAGGACACGGGGAGGGGGAAGGGTAAGCTGGGATGAAATGAGAGACTGGCATGGACATATATATACTACCAAATGTAAAATAGCTAGTGGGAAGCAGCCACATAGCACAGGGAGATCAGCTCAGTGCTTTGTGACCACCTAGAGGGGTAGGATAGGGAGGGTGGGAGGGAGATGCAAGAAGGAGGAGATATAGGAATATATGAATAGCTGATTCATTTTGTTATAAAGCAGAAACTAACATGCCATTGTAAAGCAATTATACTCCAATAAAGATGTTAAAAATAATAATAAGTTTTAAAAAATAAAGCTAAGGAAGTAAAATATATAGTATATTAAATGGTGGTAAGAGCTATGGAGAAAAATTAAGCAGGAATAAAAGATGGGGAAAACAGAACAAAACAAAATTCAAGTGAAATCACTTTCTTGGTTCTCAGTCAAAATGCTGTCTCTATACTACTTTTGCAGAGGCTGCACCAGGAAGACCCATGCTCCAAATTTTTCATTTTTTAAAAAATTTGGCCATTCTGGCTGAGCTGAAAATCTCCCATTGAAATAGATTCTAAAATATAGTGTTTTTCCCTAAATATTTAAGCTACTCATAGAATAATTTGAATATAATTTATGTGTGACCTTAACAGAAATCTGACCTAATTCTAACCTCTCTTCCATTCTGTTGCCTGAGTGGCTTTTAAAAAATAGACCTGGTTATGTTACTGTACTACTCAAAAAGTCTTCAACAATTTGAAATCAATGTCCTTAATTCGGCATTCAGTACTCCCACAAATCTGGCCCCAGACTACTCTCTGGTTCTAACCTTACCTAAAGGTTGCGTGGTGCCCATCTTCATATCTTTGTTCACCCTGTTTCTTCTGAGAATGCCCTGTCCACTTCATGTCTGCCTTTCAAAACCTAACTCATTTTTACACCCCAGCTCAAATGCTACCTCCTTCATGGGGCATCCCCAGTCCCCACCTTAACCCCTCTCTCATCCTAGTTTTACTTATTCCCTGTTATTTTACTTCTTCCCCACTCTGTGCTTCCTAGAACTTCATATCATTGCCACAGCATTAATTACACCTTTCCTTGTGTTAGCAAATGTTTGGGAAGTAATAGTGAATAGTGCTTAAGGAAAAGGAATACAAACTTTTGAGCCGGACTAGACCTGAGTCAAAACCCTGACTCTTAGGCAAGTCATTTAACTTTTCTGACTTTCAGTTTCCTCATCTGTGAACTGAAGAAAATATTACCAAATCTGCATGGACTAGTAGGGGAGAGCATATAAGAATATGCAGTAAAGGTCTTTAATAAGGGGTAGCTATTATTACCACAGTTATTCATATCCTGTCTCCAACTAGTTCATCAGCAGTACCTAGCAACATCTTACTCTCCCTAGTGTTTTCTGAATTGACTGGAAGCAACCCAAATTGATGGCATCTGCTGCCTGGATCTCTCTGAGCTATTAGTTTTCCAACATCTGTTTTGAATTTCAGAAAGAAATGTCCATTTTTAGTCAACAGCAGTGTTTTCCTGTGGCATTTCAATATGTCTCAATCCTGAAATGATTATAACTTGTGCTTGATTGAATCCAAGTCAGCAAAGTCATGGAGAACAGCCCAGCCCACAAGCACATCCACTTTACGTAGGCCTAAGAAAGCATAGCCCTCTGTACAAAGAGCCCAAACACCAAGGAACACTATATCAGCTTTTAATGACATTGCCCTTTGTTCAGATGTTTAAATTATGGCAGTAATAGAGCTTGAGAAGCTCTTATTTATCCACAATACTGTTAGACAGAGAGAGTGCAGAAATCCTGGTTTTCTTTGATGTCTAGAGTACTGGTAACTACTCAAGATGTTATAATGACAGTTATTGACTCCCTTCTCCTGACTCCCAATTCCCTTAAACTAAAAAAAAAAAAAAAGAAAAGAAAAGAAACGCCACAATTTTCTCCAGTAGTTTCTAAATTATTTCCTATGGAAAGCAGAATTTTCTAAACTACCATGCTTTATGAATCCTGTCTCTGTTTCAGCACCGAGGACAGAACCCCACCAGGCTTGATGCCCACCCATCCCATTTAATTAACACAATTTTAAATGTTTTAAAATTTCTGCTCAGATGTTTATTCGATCATGTAATATATTGGTTTTCTGAACACTCGTTATATGTCAGGCCTTGATATGGTATACAAAGGCTTACAGCTCTCAAGGTTGAACTGAGGCAGGAGATGAGCAAGAAAGGCAAGTTAATAAATATAACACCATATGACTGGTGCTGTTGCAGAGTTATGTACAAGCCATGTGGGAGCCAGGGGAGGGAGTGATTAACTCTGACTAGTAAAGGAAGGCTTTTCAAAGGAGTTGACATTTGAGCTGGGTACTGAGAATTGAGTGAAGTTTGTAATACAGAGAAGAGACTCCATGAAAAAGTACAGAGCATATTAAGAAATTTCTAGAAAAGTGGTTTGATGTGGCTGAAAAATTGAGTGAATGAAAGATTAAGGGAAGAGATAAGGAAGAGGCTAGGTCGGATCACCAAGTACTTGTATACCAAGCTAAGGGTTTAGGCTTTATCCTGGGAAAGTTAAGAGCTGTGTAAGGGTTTTGAGCAGAGGCATGATCTAATCAGATTTGTGGTTTAGAAAGATACTTCATACAGAAAGAGAGAAAATATACTAAAAAATAAATAAATGAGAGGGCAGAAGGGCAGACAACGGTGACATTCCTCCATGTGGTTCTGGAATGAGGGCTCACTCCATCATAATCAGGATTAGACATGGAGAATTTACTTGGCCCAGCTCCCATTCACTGTTCACCATGTTTCACATATGGATTATTTCTCTCCAGATTCTTCCAAGAAGATAAATGATGTCTTGGCTGAATTTAATGAGGGTGGGAGCCTCAAACAATATGACCCACATGAGGTAAGAACATTTTCATTTCAAGCCTTTAAAAACCCCATGTTCTAGCCTTCCCATAATTTGTTCCTCTCTTAGAAGTTTAGCTCATTTTGAAGAACATGCTTCTCAACATATTTTCTCCCAAGTTTCAAGTGAGCCATTGGTGCTGCCTGGAATCATAAGTTCCTCAAGTCCATTCACCTTCTCACTATCCTAGAAGGCCACATCATACCTTCTCTTCTCTCCTCAAATCTCTCACTCCTCCTCCCTTTCTCAATTCCCAGTTATCAACTGTGTTTTCTACATCACTGAGAAAATAGAAGCAGTCAGAAGCAATCTTCCCCAAAATCCTCACCTTATGTGCCCACCTAGCTGTACCTTTTCTCCTGTAATTAGGGACAAGCTCTCCATGCTCTGATCTTAGTCTAACCCTTCCACTTGTGCACTCGGTCCCGTCCTCTTTGGTCTATTGACAGGCATTGCTTCAGCAACGTATTCCTCTCTCACTGTCACTCCATCTCCTTCCCATCAGCTTTCTCTATGTATTAGATCTTCCTCATCAACAAATAAACATACTGCTCTTTCTCCTACATTAAAAAACCTTTTTCTGGCTCCGCTTCTTCCTCCAGCTACCACCTCATTTCTCTCCTGTCCTTTGTAGCAAGTAAGCTGTGCAAAAGATGTGTCTATACTCATTGCCTCCAATTTCTCCTCTTCCCACTTTTCTGAAAGCTCTTCAAGCAGCATGTAACCCCCATGCCTACACTAAAATCACTAGTCAAAATAGCCAAGGACCTGCATGAGGCTAAGACTCAAGTCATTTTACTCAACAGCATTGCACCTGATTGGTCAAATCTTCCTCCACTTCCTTCACTTGGTTTTCAGGATGCTATACTCTTCTGATTTTCCTCTTACCCCTTTACTTGACATTTCCACTTAAAAATCAAACAGGTATCTCAAACTTAACATAAGCTAAACTGAGCTCCTTGATCATCCTCTATAAAACCTGTTTTTCCAGCAGTCTTTCCCATTTCAGTAAATGACAAGTCCAGTCTTCAAGTTATTCAGCCTAAAACTATGGAGTCATCACTGACTTTTCTCTTTTTCTCACATCCCACATCTAATTCACCAGCCGCCTCCATCATTTCTACCTTCAAAATACATCCAAAATCCAGACACATCTCACTACCTGCTCTGCTATCACCCTGACCTGAGGCACCACCATATTTTGCCCAGATTATTGCAATAGTCTCCTTATTAGGCTTACTGTTTTTGCTCTTGACCTTGAAAGTCTATTCTTTACACACATCCTGAGCAGTCTGTTAAAACTGAAGTCAGATCATGTCACTGCTGTGTTCCACAATCTTTTATGGTCTGCCCACCTGGTACTCAGAGTCAAAATCAAGGTCATTACAATCTGCATCTCCCCTACTATTGGACCATTACAATCTGCATCTCCCCTACTATTGGACCATTACAATCTGCATCTCCCCTACTATTGGACCATTACAATCTGCATCTCCCCTACTATTGGACCATTACAATCTGCATCTCCCCTACTATTGGACCATTACAATCTGCATCTCCCCTACTATTGGACCATTACAATCTGCATCTCCCCTACTATCAGACCTCATATCTTGCTATTCTTCTTCCCATTTTTTCCCAGCCATATTAGCCTCCTTGATGCCTTCATACAAGCCAAGGCTGCTCTAACCTTAGCACCTGTGCCCATGCTCTGGCCTCTTCCTGCAGTGTTCCTCCCCCAGATAGCCATATCATTCATTCCTTCACCTCCTGCAAGTGTTTGCTCAAATCACCTTCTCAGTGAATGTCACATTCTCTATCTAAAATGTTAAACCCTCTTTCCTGACACTTCCTATCTTCCTGCTCTGCCTTATTTTCCTCCTTAGTGCTTCTCACCATCTGTCACACTGTATAACTTACTTATTTAATTGTCTATCTCCCCAACTAGAATAGTTTTGTTCACTTCTATGTCCCCAGTGCCCAGAAGAGTATCTGGCTTATAGCAGGCGCTCAACAAACATTTGCTGAATGAATAAATGCATGCAACACCTCCCCTACTTTCAGATTCAGCTCATCTAATGTTTCTTGAGCATCCAGGCACTGTGCTGGATGCCGTAGAAGATATGAAGATGAGGAAGCGTAGTTCCTCCCCTCCAGATCATACTTCCTACTGGCAGGGCCAAGTTTAAGAGCCGTGACCCTGGAGGTTATGCTCTTAGGTTAGACTCCTAGCTTTGCTGCGAACCAGCAATGTGGCCTTGAATATGTCACCTCTCTGGGCCTCAGTTTCCTCTTCTGTGAACTGAATATATAAAACAACCAAAAAGAAAGACCTTGAAGCTTGCAGATGAGTGAATTAAGTAAGATGCTTTTTGCAAAATGTCTAACACTTTAAGGACAATTAAAAATAGTGCCCATTATTATTACCTTTCCCCAAAATGTTTTAAACGCAACTCCCTTTTCCCTGGTCCTGGGTCCTTTTATGAGGGCTAATAGCAGAAAAGCAACTGATCAGCAGCAGGACAAACTTGGAAGGAGGCTGACCACTTATTTATTCATATTGTCATCCTTTCAACAAACCTTGAGTCAAGTCCTCTTCTGGGCCCTGGAAGTGAATCAACAGAGCCCACACCCTCGAGGTACACCTGAGAGGTGCTTTGAGTAAAATGCACTGATCACCTGAGAATGAAGCAGGAGGAAGGGTGCCAGAACAGGAGCCAGATTGAGAATGCACCCTTTCAAAGATCATTCCTGAGGAGGAACCATGTGGAAATGATGCCAAAGGCAGCAAAGAACTTGCAGCCCCCCAGTCCCCACCCCCACCTCCAAAAACACAGGAACAAAGACTGGCCGGGGCTGCTCCTCCGCCTGTCCACCCTGAAGCTGACGAGAGTGGGAGGGGAACAGTTTGGTCAGGGCTGCCGAGGGTGTGAAGGCCGTAGGAGCTTTCACAAGCAGGCCCCTGCCTCCATCAGGCTGGCCCCCGCTCTTTATACTCTGGCATTGCCGTGTCCTAGGGGAGCACCGTCACTCTGATTTCATTCTCTCTCACAATGTGGCTGGCTTCAAGTAGGTATAATGTCCCAGCACGGGGTTCAGAAACAACAAGGGTTTAAATTCTCTTGAGTTTGATGGCTTACTGCTGCTAAAATGTCTCAACAAGAAATGAGTTAGCTGTGGGAAGGGGCAGGTTGCTAGGAAAGGGTGGCTGGGAATAAAAGTTTACAGAGTGGCAGGGCTGCATCTGGCCATGACAAGCGTGCCCTTGCCCATCGGCACCGAGTGATTCTCTGGAGAACAGAGCACAGCTGAAGATGGCCAGAAAGCAGATGGAAACAGTGCGGCCAAAAAGGTAGGGGGGCCTGGTATCACCATGATCTTAGACTCAGGCACACCTTAGCACAAAGCACAGCTCTGCCACTTGCTTTATGACTTGAGCAAGTTATTTATGTTCTCAAAATTTTTTTCATCCACAAAATGGCAGTAATAAATACCACGTCACACTGTTGTTTTGAGACTTAAGTAAGATCACGTACGTACAATGCTCAATAAACTCTCCATCTAGTTCTCCTTCCTTCTTTGACCTGTGGAAGAACTAACAATTGCCTAGCTAGTTTCCACATGAAAGTTGCAGTTTCTGGGGGAAAAAGAAAAATTGTCTGAACAACGGCAGTGTCTAAGATGTTACTCAGGGCTCTGAGAATTGTCAGCGTGCTACATAGTGGTGGTTTATCTGGTTTGGGCAGAGTATGAGCCACTCCCTACCCATCACACATGTACCAAGCACCTACCCTGAGCCTGGCCTGTGCTCATAAAGAACTTACTCTTTTGCAATCCAGATATCACTTTGAGAGTGGCCCTCAGTCACATTTCCTTGCCTACTGAACTTGGGGTGCTTAGAGGGAATGGCAGGGAACACGATGTCAGCACCAGGGCCTGGGACAGATCAGATACTAGAGCAGGAGCATTGGACTAGGTGTCAGACGATCAGGCTTCTGGTTTCACTTTGCTGCTAGCTGGCTGGGCCAAATCATTCCAGAGTCTCAGTGATGTAAGGAGATCTAGTCTCCTCTGAGCTCTTCTGACATGAATGCTCTGTGTTTCTGGGCTTATTTTATGCCATTTTGTTCCCCAGGATAGGGCCATAAATGGTCGGACATGTGTTCAATCATCATTGTTTTCTAAGTTCTCATAATAGTTTGTCAGTTCTTCTGCTGTGACACTCACCACTCTTGACCCTGTATTAGAATTATTTCAATACCTTTCCCACTGAGTCTCTTAAAGGTATGGACTCATGCCTAATTCACCGGTGTGTTCTCCAGTGGTGCCCAGCACTGTGTCTTGTACCTGAGAGACTCAGTACATATATGTTGACTGAACAGACCCCACAATGATTGATGACAGCCAAGTGTACCAACTAGAAACCCAACATCCATTAAAATACCTATTAGGAAATACCGTGCTAGGGGGTGTGGAGGATACAAAGATGAAATAAGACATTTCCCTACCTTCCAGGAGCTCTAGATCTAGTCGAGGAACTAAGGTGTGTATGTCATGAACAACTATATATTGCGAGGGCAGCAGATATGGGTGTCCCAAGTCAGGAACCAACGTGGAAATGTATAGCAATTCAGGCACAAGAGATCATACCAGGCTTCCTGGAAGGGGTGGCATCTGAGTTGGGCCATAAAGGATAGCTGGAATTTTAACAGGTAGAGAAGAAAACAGTTCATGTAAGTACGCGGAAGCTTGGCCAGGAAAGAACACAGAGATCAGTGTGGGCAGAATGTGAAGGTACACACAGAGAATAGTAGGAGAAAAGACCAGAATGGTCTCCGAACTTGAAGTAGCTACAAATCTAGGTTGGAGTGGGATTGTGGTAGGGCTGTGAATCCCAGAGGACTCAGGGAGCTCACAGGATGGTCCACTGGACTGTAGGAATCCTGCGTATTAGACCTTCTATTTACATTGATTTTTATCTCATCTGATTTTTATTTTCTAATTTCTTTGTGTGTCTTTTATAATGTATAGTAGCGGAGCACAGTAGTACATAAATATAATGTATAATAAAGATAAATGGCAATGTGTGCTTGAAAATCTTACAGACGGGCGCTTGATTTTAAAAGTTTGGAGACAAGTGATGTCAACTCTCCCATGGGCAATCAGAAGCCATGGAAAGTTTTTGAGTTGGGAAGCAGTCTGATCAGAGCTGTGCTTTGGGAAGATCACCTTGGCAAGGATAGAAAACATGAGAGGACTAACAGATGGAGGTGGAGGCAAGGAAGCCTTTGAGGGGTGTTGCAGTTGTCCAGATAGGACACATGGAACAGGAGTAGAAAACCAGAAGCATGGGGGACTTCAAGAGCCGCCTTGTCAGGGTGGGGCCGATGGGCAATGGATACAGAAAAGACCTGGATATGACAGACGTTGAGAAAGAACGGTGGAAAGAAGGAAGGGACAAGAATTGATCTCAGACAACTGGGTGTTCAAGCTGAGCCTGGAATATTTGGAGGATAATGCTGCCATTGACGTGAACAGAAACTGTAGGGTCAGGAAGAGGAACTGGTTTAAGGAAGAGCCCAACAGAAGTTTAGAGCTTGAGATCTTCTGGTCCAGCATTCACAGTTTGCTAAAGAAAAACCTGAGGTTCAAAAAAGGAGGAAAATGTGGTGGACCTCAGACCAGCCATGAGGCCTCCTGAATCTCACACTGATCTTGTTTGAAGATCTTTCAGCTCTGGTTTTTTAAGAGCATTATGTAAGACTTTATTTAACTGAATTTCCTTTTTTATTAAATCATTTAGTATACGCTGTTTTCCAGAAATATGCTGATAGTTTTCAATTTGAGGCCAACCAGAAAAAAAAGTAAAAGAACATTTTGGAACTCAAAACTATATTGTAAGACAGTACTTGTCGATTAAAATAGTGAAAAGGAAAGGACAATGCAAAAAGAGCCTTTTAAAGTAAGTGAATAATAAAGATGAGAAGATCTAAAACAAAGACCATTGAATTTGTGACCTTCAAGAGAGCAGATTCAGAGGTGATGCTCTAGAATCAAAATTGAATGGATTAAGGAGGTGAGGAGAAGTGTGAAGGGGAAGGGAAGAACACAGGCTAGTAGCTTGAGCAGCCAGCAGTTTCTTTGGAAGAGTGACCTGAACGTGCTTGCAGGTGCTGCGAGACAAGCAGGTGCTGCGAGATGCCATCGGAGGCAGGGAGGGTGGAATTGCAGGTCATGGTGGGTTCCACTGGGAAAGTGGGAGGAAAAGATTTTGCTGATGTGTACTGGGAAAAAGAGGATGTGTGAGGAAGGGACATTCTGAGGTGTTGAGGCAGTGGAGACAGAGAGGGACAGAAAGAGTACAAGAGAGAGCCACAGAGATTCTGGGGCAGGAAAGGCAGAGAAATAGAGATTGATGCCTGTCACAAGAAATGTAAGTCCACCATTTGCTTAGAGATGCCTTCATCTGGTAATGAGCCTTCATTATCCTCTGTCCAACTGAATCAGGCTTCCTTCACTCTGCTAAAGAGATGTTTAAATAGCCCAGCCTGGGGCTGAGGAGAAACTGCCTCGCAAGCTCCCTCCCAGTGGGGTCCAGAGGGCATTGCTTGTTTTAAGGACCAGGACTTTGTATCCAAAACCTGATGGTGCACGTGCCAGCCAACTCTGGTTCTGCGAAGGCTCCCAGATCTCCCAGAAGAGACAAGGGGTTAAATGCTACCAACATTTTCAGAGAGAGCCAAGTAGGCTCCCCAAAAGGGATTTTATCGCTATTATTCACAAAAGCCTGCACAGCAGATCTTGGAGGAGTGCTTCCTCAGATGATTTCCAGGAGCATCTGCTGATTTGATGAAGAATCTGATGCCATCAAAGCACAAGCCAGTGATGACTCACTGCACACTGTTGTTGCCGAGTGTTTGCTGAGTGCAGCAGCCCTTTCTGGCACAGTTCTCCCAACCTGGGACCAGAAGCCAGGCAGCACTGGGCGACATACAGCAGGGAGAGGTTTTGGCATGTTTCTTGGTTTTACCTTCTGTCCTTGGCTTCCTGCTCTTCTCTCCTGGTGCCTGAAACCTTCACAAGGACATGTTTTGAGAGCAGTCGAGCCAGACACACACCCTCCCCTGGTATCTTGAGGGTTGTCCAAAGAAGGTCAGTTATGAAAGTAATGAAAGATGGAGCCTGTTCTTTTTTATTTTCTGAGACCTGAATCCTCAGGAATCCCATCCCTCACGGCATAAGCAGAAAATTGACATATACTCTGCAGAAGAGTGATTTCTTCTCCTTGTGTTTTCAACTACATCCTTCCTCATCTTTTTTTTTTTTTTTTTTTTTTT